TTATTGATGCTCTTTGTTTCTTTGAGTGGATTTGCTTTACCATTTGGTGTTACTTCCTTTAATATTCTGCTATCAATGAATTATCTCATTCTTTATTTGGATATGTATGTAATTTGCCTCATTATTGGAGGATAGTTTCATTAGGTATAGAATTCTTGGTTGACAGTTACTCTTTCATTATTTGAATATGCCATTGCGTCACCTTCTTGCCTTTATTGTTTGTAATGAGAAGCTAGCTGCTAATCTACTTAGAATTTCCTTGTACCTGACAAATTGTTTTTCTCTTTCTGCTTTTAAGATTTCTTTTTTGTACTTCCAGCTTTCAACATTTTGACTACGATGTGTCTGGGTGTGGATTCACTGATTCTTTCTTCTTCTGCCAACTCATATTTACTGTTGAGCTCTTCTACTGAACTTTTCATTTCTTTCATTTTTCAATTCTCAAGTTTTTATTTAGTTCTTTTTTGCAACTTCTATCTTGTTATTGGTATTTTCTACTTGATGAATCAATATTGTCATATGTTCCCTTAATTATTTAAATATTATTTCTTTGGAGATGTTTATTATAGATGTTTTGAAGTCTTGGTGCATACTAAGTTGTGCATTTGAGCTCCTTAAGAGGTGGTTTCTATTGACTACTTTTTTCTCTGTATGCTTTACATGTCTCATAGTTTTTTTGTTGAAAATTGGACATTTTGGATAATATGTTGTATCAACTCTGGATTCTGATTTCCTCCCTGGTAGGGTATGGTTGTTGTTGCTGGTTTGTTTGTTTTTTTAGTGACTTGCCTGAACCAATATTGGGGTGTCTATTTTCCTTGAAGTGTGTGCCCTCTGATGTCTCTGCTCAGTTTTCAAATTCTTCTTTCTATTTTTAAGCCTGGCTTCCTAGGGATTATCCTGGGTCACTATGACTTAGTTATCAGTCATTGATTGGTTAGTGGTTGTTTGAACCTTTGAACTAGTAAGGATTCTACTTTTTGGCATGGTATATATACATGTATTGGATAATGCTTTAAAAGTCAGGGAATTAAAAGTCTGATTTGTTTTTTACTTTCCATGTTTACAGGCCTCATGGTCAACCAGGAATGAGTAGCTTGCTAGCGCCCTATCCATTGTCTTTTGAGCATAACCTTGTACATACAACATTCTAGACTACCAGGGATATGAGAGATCCTAGCAATCCCCTGTTTGACTGTCTTGTTCTTCAGATCTCTCTGTTAAGTTTTGGTCTTTTGTTTTGCTTTCCTCAAGAATATTATGATCTCAGGCTGCCTTCCATTATTGCCCCTGAGGTCTCTGTTGTTTTTGACAACTTTGTCCTGTTTTATCATTGCTTCGTGGGGAAAGGATTTGCTGAGTTCCTCACTCAGAATTCTTAAATGTCTTGTCCCATAAAGATACACACACATATATAGACATATATGTATGTATATTATGTGTGTGTGTATATATATTTTGGTGGTAAAAACATAACATAAAATTTAACATCTTAATCACATTTTAGTGTATAGTACAGTAGTGTTAACTATATACACATTGTTGTGTCACAGATCTCTATGACTTTTTCATCTTGTAAAACTGGAACACTATACACATCGAGCAATTCCCCTTTTCTTTCTCCCTGTAGCCCTTGGCAACCACCTATCTACTTTCTGTTCCTAAGAGTTTGACAACTTTAGATACCACGTATAAGTGAAATTATGCAATATATATTTTTTTGTTACTGGATTATTCAATTAGGTTAATGTCTTCAAGGTTCATCCATGTTGTAGCATATGACAGGATTTCCTTCTTTTTTGAGGGTGAATAATATTCCATTGTATGTACATTCCACATTTTGTTTGTTTATTCATCCATTGATGGATACTTGGGTTGTCTCTACCTTGTAGTTATTGTCAATAATACTGCTATGAATATGGGTGTGTAAATATCTCAAGATCCTGTTTTTAATTTTTTTGGATATATAGCCAGAAGTGGGATTTGTGGCACATATGGTAATTCTATTTTTAATTTTGGGGGGGAACCGCCATACTGTTTTCCTTAGTGGCAATACCATTTGACATTCCCACTAAGATTGTACAAGGATTCTAGTTTTTCTTCATCCTTGTCAACACTTATTATTATTTTTGATGGTGGCCATCCTAACAGGTGTGATATGTGGTTTTGATTTGCATTTTTCTGATGATTAGTGCTGTTGAGTATCTTTTCATATGCCTGTTGGGTATATCTTCTTTGGAAAAACTTAGTCAAGTTGTTTGCCTATTTTAAAATAGGATTGTTTGGTTTTTTGCTGTTACTGAGGTATAGGAATTCTTAATATAGTCTAGATATTAACGGCTCAGATATACAGTTTGTGAATATTTTCTTCTATTCTGTAGGTTCCCTTCTCATACTGTTGAGTGTTTTCTTTGCTGTGCAGATGTTTTTAAGTTTGATGTAGTTCCATTTGTCTATTTTTGCTTTCATTGCCTGTTATATTCATTTTTAAAGTATTTCTTTTTTGTGTGTGTTAGAATATATTGTAATAGCTTAACTAGAATTAGGGTTTTGAGAGCTATTCAACCCTCTTCTTAAATTCTTTGCTACTAATGTCCTTTGAACAGTCATAGATGTTCTGGTTTTAGGGATGCATTTTACAAAATATATTTCTGAAAAGTTACAGGTAAATAAAGTATTTTTAAAAGTTATAGGGTTATATTTTGGAAAGGAAAAGGAATGAAAAGAAAATCATTTGTTTTTGCTACCTGAAGGAAGATTCATTTGTTATAATAATAACCATTGGTGTTTTGCCTTTTACAAGGTATATATGTGTTCTTATTTATTTATCAACACTCTTTGATGATGAAATGGAAACTGCCTTGCTCATAATCAGTTGATAAGTAACTGTTGAACTTCAGTTGGACCTCCAACATTTGCCATATGGTTCAAAATTCCATGTTCTAATGTAGAAAGCCACGTCTTTTGTTAATGTTTGGGTACTAGCTCAGTTGATTAGTAGCATTTTGATAATTCTAAGTTATTGAGGGTTTTTTTGTTGTTTGTTTTGTTTTTTTCCTTTTTTTGTCTTTTTTCGTGACCGGTAATGGGATCGCAACCCTCAGTGTCACACCCGTACCGCGACCGGCAACGGGATCACAACCCTCAGTGTCGCGCCCGCACCTCGCTCAACCAGTGAGCGGACCGGTCTGTATATGGGATCCGAACCCTCGGCGGGAGCGCTACCGCGCTCCCAAGCACCGCACTCTACCGAGTGTGCCACCGGGCCGGCCCTAAGTTATTGAGTTTGATTCAAGTGTCTTTTAACTTCTCCCTGAGAAAATCTGATTTGTGCCCATAGACTGCAACTTTGGTAGCCATTGCACAAATGTACCATTGTTGCAGAGGTCAGGGGGTGGTAGAGGTGGAAATGTAATTTGCTCATCGCCCAAGTAGATGCATAGCCAGTGGAAACATATTCAGTGCTTATAATAGAAGTCTACAGGCAATATAATAGGGGTTAAGAACAAGGGCTCTGGCATATTTCTCAGTTTTGAGTACTGGCTGTCCTAGATGATTCATTTTGGGAAATTACTTGACCCTTTGTGCCAGTTTTATTGTAAAATGTTGATAATAGTATTTACCTTTTGTGGTTCTCATGAAAATTAAATGATTGTATTCAGGTAAGGTGCTTAGAATAGTGCCTAGTACATAGTAAGTGCTTGCCAAATGTTGTCTTTGTTAGACACTCTTAAATAAATAATCTTGTGCCAGCAGAATAATGCTTGAAAAAATTACTGCATAATTTAAAAATAGCGTAATAATGAGAAATATTTACAAATTGTGACATTCCATTAGTATAGAGTAGTATCAATAGATTTTTTAGTAGTCTGACCTTTCTAAAAAAGAAAAAAACTCTGGTTGAAGGGATAATTTAGGCCCACACTTTTGTAATAATAATAATAGTACAATTTCTCTATAAGGAAGATAGTGTTCTAAGCATTTTATATAAATTAATTTATTTAACCCTCAAAAGACACTATTATTGTGGAAATTTTACAGGTAATGAAACTGAGGCATAGATACATTAATCGTCTTGCCTAGTGTCATTGAAAGTAAGTGGCAGAGAGAGGATTTAAATCCACGACTGCTGGCTCCAGAGTTATTGGTCTTAACCACTTTGCAATACTGCTTATATTTAGCTATATTGGTACTATGTTGTTAAACCAATTACACAGGCTAAAAAAGGAATGAAAAGCTTAATATTTATATTAACTTTTACAGATACAGTTACAGTAACTGGAAAAGTGTAACGGAAATGAAATTTCTTTTTTTCTTCCTTTGTTGATTCCTAACAGAAATTTTATCTGGAAGGGGAAACAAATTAGTATAAAGTGATTGTGGGGAAATTTGTTTTCATTTCTAACTTTTTGTCTTGTAATAATGGAAAGCAGTCAGAAGACATTTAAAATTCATGACCAAATAGTATCCAGGTACAGTCTTAATTAGGTGAAGCACAATATGTCTTTTTTTCAGGTTAGTCAATTTTTATTTTGTCAGATCATTCTCCTATCTTCAATTGATCCTGCCTTTGTTTGCCTTACACTCCTATTCTGTTAGTTTAAAACGCATTTTTAGGACACTTTATTTTTAGAGAGTAAAAGAAAATACCGTTGTAGTTATCTCAAGTACTGATGCTGTCTACTGCTGTGATTACTACCATAAACACCATATATGAGCTTTTGTCATATACCGGGTATTGTATATTACTTCCATTCAGCAGAGTAGGAAACTGAGGCCTAGAGAGCTTAACTAACTTATTAAGTGTAACTTGCACAATAAGTTTTTGTAGTTTATCATTATAGTTTAGCAAGTTATTTGATGCTACTTTTTGGTAAACAATTATTCCCCAAATATTTTTATAATGGAAATTTCATTTTTCTATTAAGAAATGAATTTGGATAGTAGAATGAAAAATATTAAGCATTTACTAATTTTTATTTAATGTTTTGTGTTTTAAGGAACTGAAATTACCATTTACTTTTTTAAGTGGACATATTCATGAATTGAGGATTCATGTACCATGGACAAAATTGGGTTCAGAACCAGTGGTAATTACCATCAATACGATGGAATGCATTTTGAAACTTAAGGATGGAATACAGGTAAGAAATTGTTGAACCTAGTTATTTATATTAACTAATCTTAATAGTTATTAATATTCGACATTTCTTTAACTTTTGGAATATGTCAGCTGTTACATAAACAACTTTTAACTTATATATTTCATACCTATTAAAGCAATGTAATTATTTGCAAAAGAGTGTTCTTAAATTTGGATAAAGTATCTAAAGGATGTTTTCATACTGATTTTACTTAATCGATCATAGCCCTCCTAAGTATCATGTAGATTGCTTATTACGTATATCTGTAATAGAAGTGGAGCCTGATCATGTCCAATTTTTAGGTTTAGATTTTTGAATTTTTTCAAAGAACCTGTATGAATTTTTATTTATATGACAGTTCTCAATCAGGAGAAAATTTCTCAGGTTATTTTTTGGGAAGATGAAAGTGTATTAATTTTTACATCAAATTTCATTGTTTTTGAAGTTTTGGTATCAGAAACTGATTTTTTTTTTTTAGTCTTATTTATTTCTTCTCTTACTCATCTTACATTTCCTGTTAGTGTTTTTTGTGAAGTTGTAATATTGGTTTTAAGGAGTTTCGATCAAAATTTTTCTAATCTAGGAAGCAAATAGGACAGGAGAACAGCATATTGTGAAGAATGTTCCTACCTTGATCTTGCAAAAAAGTAGTGTGTCTGTCATTCTTTTTTATTACTTTTTTCTTAGCATACATTTAACATATAAGTTTTATGGAAGGTTGTCTAGAACCAAGTGAATTGATACATATTAGTAAAATGACTATTTCATGAGAACCTAAAGGCAATTTTAGTGTATCATAAATATATGAGTAACTTCAGTCCCTGTGAAATTAGGGTTATTTATGAACTGTTAAAATTATTTCCTATTTTTTTAGGTAGATACTTTAAGTGTCGTATCAATGCATTGGGCTCTGATCTTTTTTTCATTTATGAAATCTTTGATTCCAAACCTGCAGTTTCCAGTTTAAATTAACTAACATAGTTCTTGGAAGTAAATAGACTGATGTTATATTCCCATGAAAACTTATTTTGTGAATTTTCAGTATTTGAGAGATTGATTTAGAAATCTGTAGATAGTTGTATTGCAACAAAGTTTTATTTTACGTTTATATTTGGTAATACTTAAATGGTTCTTAATCATCATCTGTTCTTGGAATTTTATTTTTTAAAAAAAGTCTGGACTTGGTTATACCACCCATGCAGTGCTCCATATTAAAAGAAAAAAAAAAAAAAAATCCAGACACTAAGTATTTTTTCAGTGGGAAAGTGGAAGTTTCATAGCCAGATGTCCCATAAGAAACACATTTTAAAAGAGGCAAATTACAACTAATTATAGAGGCTGTAGAAAAAGATTTGTAACACATGACTTAGTGCAGCCTAGAACTAATATTTGATATTGGACCATCCAGGTGGCTACTGCAGGAATGATCAGATTTCCTGCTTGCATGGTATTTGAGACTTGAATTTTGTGGTGTGTACAGCAAAAGGTCAAGTGTCATGAATGTAAACCACTTTCAAAACAAGTATTTTTTACAGATGTTTAAAACTTGGGGGTAGAAAGGATTTTTAAAAATTGCAGTTGACATTTGGACAAATTATTTAACAATGAGCACCCCTGGAGAGCAACACTCGGGTTTATGCTATTGACTAGAATTAAATTTTGAGTAAAATACTATAGATGAAACATTTTAAAATAGTTTATTTTCCTATTTTATGCTTTGATTAGGATGGTATATAATTGAGTTAAAAATTACATGTACTAGTAAAACTGAATAAGCTTATATATAAATTATTTTAAGTTATGCACTGTAGAATCACAATGAAGAAAATACATATTTTCTAGATATAATTGGGGTGGGATTTTAGGTTAAGTGATAGGACCTTTTATGGGTACCCTAAGATGGATGTATAAAAAAAAAGTACTATTAATATATGGGAATGTATTAAAATATGACTAAAAGATAGAAATATGAGGTTTAATTCAGATAAGATTGTACAAAATATGTACAATATTGTTAAATGCCTTGATAAGAGAGCATGTTTAATTTGTAATGTTCAGTTTAGTTCTACCAAAGCACTGCTGAGATATTTATATAATCTTCTCAGCAAAACCGCTTCGAAAAAGATTTGTAATGATTGTGACTCTTCTGATCTGCTTTAACATGTCTTTGTAATCAGTTTATTTTTTTTTGTCTTTTTTCGTGACCGGCAACGGATCGCAACCCTCAGTGTCGCGCCCGTACCGGACCGGGACTGGCAACGAGATCGCAACCCTCGGTGTTGCGCCTGCACCTCGCTCAGCCAGTGAGCGGCCGGTCTGTATGTGGGATCCGAACCCTCGGCGGGAGCGCCACCGCACTCCCAAGTGGCGCACTGTAGCAGTGTGCCACCGGGCTGGCCCAATCAGTTTTAATTATAGAGATTTTTAGATTAAGGTGACCAAATTGTGTTAAATAAAATAAAGTCCACCATGATGTTCACTCTGAATTATTTTTACTATATTGAAATTTTACTCAAAATATTTATTAAGTATTTGCTATTTTCTCTGAGAGAGACATATCTATGTCAGTTCTTGTGTCCACCTTTAGATTATGTGGATTTGTTACTTGTGAACCATTATTTTTCTTTTTTGGACCTCAGATCCACAATTTGATTAATGATACATTATGTCCACTCTGGTCTAATGTAATAAATACTTGTGGGCCCGGTGGCGCACTGGATAGTGCGCCGCTTGGGAAGCGTGGCGGCGCTCCCGCCCGAGGGTTCGGATCCCACATACAGACCGGTTCCCGCTCACTGGCTGAGCGAGGCGCGGGAGCAACACCGAGGGCTGCGATCCCGTTGCCGGTCCCCGGTCCGGTACGGGGGCAACACTGAGGGTTGCGATCCGTTGCCGGACACGGAAAAAGACAAAAAGACAAAAAAAAAAAAAAAAAAAAAGCTAGAACATTATCTGTAACTTAGATTTAACTATGTACTCTTCTCCTTTTTCGTATTCTTGCTTGTTCAACCTCTGTGGGCCTCATCTGCAAAATAGGGCAAGATTTGCTCTATACAGTTTTTTTAATTCTATGATTGATATGCTTTCTTTGCTTGCAAAAATACTTCTTCAACTTAAAGAGAGTAGTAAATTTGTTTTTAGACTACTTATTTATTCTGGTTTTTGTACCACCTAAAAAGTAAATGTTTAAAATCTTTTAACCTAGCAAATGTATTTATTTATAAGTCTGTTTATAAAAGTAATACTTATTATTCATAAAAAAAAAATCCTTTGAACCTAACCCAGGACTTTAAAATACTATTGACTTGAGTTAAAGAACTAAGCTTTTTGTTAATCTATGTACGTTTTGACTCTGTTAAGTGCCTGGAGTTACAGGGCACTTTTTCCTGTCTTCTTTCCTTTCATCTTTAGGTGCTATGAAAATCCTTTATTGGTTAGGTAGTTTCAAAAAGAATAGAGAAGTATAATACTCTCTCCTAGAAGCTTGAGTACTATTATGATAGAGGAGGTATTGGTAGGGCTATTTGCAGTATTTTCATAGCCTTTTTTCTTTTTCTTTTTCTTTTTAATTAAAGTATTTTAGGCTCCTTAAAGGAGACTGAATTAATCTAACTACCTTTTCAGAAACTCAGATGGGGCTCAAAATTGCTGATTTAATCTTTGGAGTTTATTGTACTTTTGTTGATTCTTTCATTTCCACTGCTATAGATTAATGATGGTGGTGATGATAATAGCAGGTACAAGAGTTTCCTATAAATTATGACTAGTGTCTATTCCCACTGGAGAACTACTATTTGTTGTGAAGGGGATGAGTAGTCTGGTACTTTTACTTGTGTAAGAGCTCAAAAAGCACATAATTGTTAATGACCTTTATAATAATTTCTTATCATTATAATCTGGTTAGAAGAATATCTTAGGTGGAGTGCGTAGCTAGGTAATTTCTAGCCATTGGCCATATCTGCTACCTGTAAACTTCAGGCCTTGGGTTTAAATTCTTGTTTCTGGTGTTGTAACTGGAATGATGAAATAAAGTTGACAAGTGGGGCTTCTGACCTTTTGTGCAAAGAAGATGAATGGAAGAGTCAGCAAAGGTGGAGCCAGAAGTCACTGACGGTGTTTAGGAATCTGCCCTGGTACTGGACAGAAGAGTGGAGAGGTTGTACAATATCACAACCAAGTAACATAGTGATAGAGGAGAGATGATAGTGGGTGTAAATGTCCCTTTACATTCTCAGCTGAGAGAGGAATAAACTAAATCACCATTTCTGTCTGATGTAACATTATCTGTTTCGGTGAAGAAATTTTAAATAGATGAATTTGATCCCGAAATTTCTTGTTTTTAATGGGTATTTGTCAAACTCTTCTAATAAATTAAGTATTCATTTTAGTCAGGTGCAGCAAACATTAAGGTGGTTCAGATCCCTTTTCTATTTTTATGTATCTTAAATATTCTAAGACATTTAACTTAAAGAAAAATCTGAGATTATCTTGTAAATCTGTTTTGAAATGTTTTAATGGGGGAAATAAATAATTTGGAGTTTCACTGTAGGTGAAACATGTTATTTGCCTATGTATTCTTACCACTTATCTCATTTTTAACTTAGCTCTTTTAAAATTATTTCTGCAATTTTAATTTTATTTCTTTACTGGCATAACTCTTAATTGTTGGTTTGGTTCATTAAGATTACAAAATTTTCTGTCAAGTCTTTTCAAAACCTGAGGTGCCTTTATCGCATGTACCTACAGGTTCAGCTAGAATTTAAACCAAAAAAGTAAAAATAGTTGCACATTTGGTGTTTTTAATTCAAAATTAGTTTTGTTTCCCATAGGCACAAATTCCTCTCTAAACACTTGAAGTCAGAAACCAATAAGCCAGTTTATTTTTAATCAAATTTTGGTTGAATAGTAGGTTTAGGTCTAGGTGTTTAGATTTATTCCACAATATATATGCCTAATTTCTTATCCTATGTGGTTATGTTATCTTCTAAGTTCTTTCAGCA